GTTACAGCATCCCTGGGTGTGACAGGACTGAGCTGCCTGGGATGCTGGAGTTACAAGGATTGGGGCTCAGTGGAGCTTTGAGTGGGAGAATGGAGGATTTTGGGCTGGCACTGAGCACTGCAGACCTCCCCAGCCTGCTCCTGTCCCCATTCCACACCCCCAAACCCACCCCATGCACTGCCTGTCAGTATCCCAACCTCCTCAGAGATTTCCCTCACTGCTGGGAAGCACAGCCCCATCACTGATCTCCTTCCTCCCTGTCTCTCTCTCTGTCCCCAGTCATCTTCATCCTCCCAGGAGCGCCTGCACCAGCTGCCGTACCAGCCCACCCCCGACGAGCTGCATTTCCTTTCTAAGCATTTCCGCAGTACGGAGAGCGTCACGGACGAGGAGGGCCGGCACTCGCCCTGCCTGCGCCCACGATCCCGCAGCCTCAGGTGGGACACAGCTCCCAGGACAGGGCTGGATTGCTTTGAAACACAGGAGTCTGCTAAGAAAGGCAGCAGCCTCCCCTGGAATGGAAAATGTAAACCACATCCTCTGAATATCTGAATTATCATATCAGATATCTGAATTATCTGCACCCACGATCCCACAGCCTCAGGTGGGACACAGCTCCCAGGACAAGGCTGGCTTGCTTTGAAACACAGGGGTCTCTTAAGGAAGGCAGCAGCCTCCCCTGGAATGGAAAATGTAAACCCCATCCCTCTGAGTTATCATATCTGAATATCTGAATTATCATATCTGAATTATCATATCAGATTATCATATCTGAATATCTGAATTATCTGCGCCCACGATCCCACAGCCTCAAGTAGGACACAGCTCCCAGAGCACGGCTGGCTTGCTTTGAAACACAGGAGTCTGCTAAGGAAGGCAGCAGCCTGCCCTGGAATGGAAAATGTAAACCCTGTCCCTCTGAGTGATCATATCTGAATTGTCATATCAGATATCTGAATTATCTGCACCCATGATCCCGTAACCTCAGGTGGGACACAGCTCCCAGGACAAGGCTGACTTGCTTTGAAGCACAGGTTGTTGCAGGTGTCTGCTAAGAAAGGCAACAGCCTCCCCTGAAATGGAAAATGTAAACCCTGCCCNGCACACCCACCTGTTGGCACCTGTTGTGTGTCACTGTCCTTTACTCCCTGGCTGCCCCTGTCACTCCCTCCTGTTTTTGGGATCCATGGAGAATGCCCTCTGTTCCATCTCACCCCTGGCTGCTGTGGCTGTTTGTGGCCGTGGGGTGATGTTAAAAGCTGCCCTTTAATCAGCAGCATCTCTGTGGGTTCCTGTTCCCAGCTGGGTGAGGAAACTCGGTGTCTTTGAGGAGTCTGCAGCCTGAGGAAGCGGAAGGAGGGGAAGGGGAGGCTCCTCCTCGTGCCTGAGCCTCTGCTCTGGGCTGTGGATATTTGCAGCTTCCTCTTGGCAGAGTGGAGGAGAACTTAAATGAGCCCATAATGCTATAAATGTGGGAGTGGGGCACAAGAGTGGGGAGCAGCAGTGGGAATTTTAGAGGCTCTTGCAAGGCAAGACTCAGGGCTGAAAGGAAAGGAAAACCAAAATCCCTGTGAGGATGGAAACCCTGTGAGCTGGGAGGGTGGGAATGGAGATGGGGATGTGAGGATCCAGCACTTGTGGATGTGGCCTTGCAGAGATGCTGGGCTGCGATGCCAGGATGGGGATTTTTGGGGAGTTTTGGGGTGTCAGGTGCTGGTGCTGCTTTTCACCTGGTGCTGGTGCTGGTGGCTCCCTCCTGCTGCCAGACAGGGGCAAAATTCCCACAAATTCCTGGTGACCCTGGGGCTGTCCTCTCTGCTGTGACATGGGGGCCACCAAGGGCAGGGGGATTTATGGGAACTGGGGGCAGTTTCCATGCACTGGAGAGGTCAGGCTGTGGCTGCTGGGCATTTCCACTGCTTCCTCCTTTTACATCCCTTTTTCTATTCCTGCCTGGGGCTCTTGCCCAAGGAGCCTCCTTCCTCTGCCCTCCCCAGTGAGCCAAAACCAGAAGTGGGACCTTGTTGGGACAGTTCTTTGTTAAAAATAGCCCTGTGTGTCCATCTCCAGCAGCAGCCCTGGCCTGGGGTGGATCTTCCCTGTGGCAGGAGATCTGTAATCAGTGGGGTGACAGCAGCAGTGTTCCCTGGCACAGAAATTCATGTGCAAGCAGATATTTATTTATGTGCCTGAGCCCATCCAGCTCTGGCTGTCATGGATTCCCTAAATTTTTTTAATTTCCTAAATTTATTCCCTCTTTTTCTTCTCCAGTTGCCGAAGCAGCAACAGGAAGAGTTTAGTGGTGGGCACCCCCTCTCCGACCCTCTCACGGCCTCTCTCCCCTCTCTCCGTGCCAACAGGTAAGGGATTATCCCAGCGGATGATCCAGCATCTCCCAAAATTACCCAAATATCCCAAAACTAACAAGGTGCAGGGCTTCAGCACCTTGTTAGCAGCAGTGGGCTGGCTCCAGGTGCCTTTTCCAGGGTTGGGAAGTGCTTTAAACACTTTCCCCTGAAGGAGCAGCCTGAAGCACTGTGGACATGGTCCTGGGGTGGGTTTTGGGATGAATTTTCCCCTTTTCTCCCTGTAGCTGGGAGCAGCCCCTTGGACAGCCCACGGAACTTCTCTGCCAGCACCTCCATCAACTTCCCCTTCGCTCGCAGGTGAGCTCCCAGCCCCAGAGCAGAATATTCACTGTAAAGATCATTCCCCCTCCAGGGAACTGTTCTGTTGATCTCAAGTGACTTGTTTTGCCTTTGTTTTTGCGTTTCTTCTGCCTGCTTTCTGGCCTGGTGCTGTTTCCTCTGCCATGTTCCTCCCGCCACCCCAGCCATGCTCCTCGGACTGACAGGCAAGTACCAGGGATGGGCATGGGCTGCGTTTTGGGGAGGTGTCTGCTCCACATCATCAGGGACCTTCTTTTCTAAGCGTTCAAGGCCAAGCTGGGCAGGGCTTGGAGCAATCTGGTGGAGTGGAAGGTGTTTCTGCAGGTGGCAGGGAGTGGGACTGGTTCTTTGAGGTCCTTTCCAATGCAAGCCCATCTGGGACTCTGTGATTCTTTATTTGCATCCCTGTGTGGGGAATTTTGCACCAGGACTGGGCTCCCTGCAGCTCTGGGAGCAGAAATATCTCTGTTCTCATGGCTGGGTGTTTAGTCCTATCTCAAACTCCTGCTGGATTTTCAGAAGATGTCCAGGGATCTCTCATCCAGATCTCCACAGAGGCAGATCCTGCTGTATGCCCTCCTCTGTTTAACTAATTAATTAATTACACATGGAGGGCGGGTGGCTTATTTTAAGCCATCGATTGTCACTGGAAACAAGCCTGAGGCTCTGCTGGTTTGCACACTTGTACCAGAGGGAACAGCCAGGCTGTGGGGTCAGGAGTTTGCTGGAGCTGCATGTGGCTCCCTGCCAGCTCCTGCTGTCCTTGACCCCACAAGGGAAATGGCAGTGGGAGGTGAAGGGCCTTGTCCTGACCTGGATGTGTCCCCATCCCTTGGAAACATCTCCAAGAGGAAGCATTTGCCTGCGTATGAGCAGTTCCCTTCCTGTTTATGGGCAGGCTCTGCTCCCCGGCGCCTGCTGTCTCAGGATGAGTCTTTGGGAATCCCAGTTTGTCACTGAGAAAACTCCCAGCAGGCTGAATTTTGCTCTAATTAAAAATCAGACCATTGCAGGCTTTTATTTTTTTTTTCCCTGTGTGAAATGGATTCAATGGAGCCCCAGCTCTGTCTCTTCACAGTGACCCTGCCCTCACCCTATGCCTATGCCTGGGGGCCCTGTCCACACTATTTGCAGCCACATGCGCCCTTACCCAAAATGACATTAAAAAGATCATTGCCTTCTCCACTTCAGCTAGGGTTAATAATAGTTACATTTGGACTAAACTTCTCTGAACTAGCCTTCCTTCACATCTCAACTCACACATTCTTCAAAGCCATGCTCTTCCTGTGCTCAGGCTCCATCATTCATGGCCTAAAGGGTGAACAAGATATCTGAAAAATAGGAGGACTCCAAAAGATACTACCCACAACTACTGCATGCCTTACCATGGGCAACCTTGCCCTAATAGGAACACCATTTCTAGCAGGATTCTACTCAAAAGACTCAATCATCCTACCTAAACACCTGAGCCCTACTTTTAACCCTTCTAGCCACATCATTCACAGCAGTGCACACGATCTGCATGACCGTATTTGTGCAGACCAGCTTTGTTCAAACTCTCAGGATGAGTCTTTGGGAATCCCAGTTTCTCACCAAGAAAACTCCCAGTGGGCTGAATTTTGCTCTAATTACAAATCAGACTCTTGCAGGCTTTTTTTTTTTTTTTTGCCCTGTGTGAAATGGATTCAGTGGAGTCTCAGCTATGACCCTGCTGCTTGCCACTGTCCCTGCAACAGCCCCCTGACCTGCAAACCCCTTATTTCACCCCATCTCAGTCCTTTCAGCCCCCCTGACCTGCAAACCCCTTATTTCACCCCATCTCAGTCCATTCTGAGCAGAGATTTCAGGGCTTTATTCCTCAAAACACCCCTGTGTTCTGTTCCCTGGTTTTTGGCTCTGCTGTTGTTGATTTGCATTTCGATGTTGGGTTTTTTCCCCCTGTGTGTGATTGCTGTGTTTGCTCTGGCAGGGCTGATGGCAGAAGGTGGTCACTGGCTTCGTTACCCTCCTCTGGCTATGGGACCAACACCCCCAGCTCCACGGTCTCGGTAACATTTGCTTTCTCATGCTAGCAGATGATAAGATCCTAAACCCCTCTGATTTTTGGTGAAATGCCTCCAAAGCTCCACGGTGCTGGGTTCTAAAGGGCCATGTGCTTTAGCTGCATCCTGCTTCCCAAATGAGCTTTTGAGAAACACATAAGGCTTGGCTGTGGGCTTGCAGCAACCCTGGGGCTTATGGTGTCCCATTAGAGCATCTCTGGGTTAACTTCATCCCTGCGGTTACAGTATGTCTGGGAGTTACTGTGCCCTAGGTTTACAGTGTTCCTGGCAGTTACCCTGCCCTAGGGTTACAATGTTCCTGGGGTTACAACATCCCTGGGCATCAGAGCATCCCTGAGAGTTACAGCATCCCTAGGAGTTACTGTGTGCTGGGGTTACAGTGTTCCTGGGCATCAGAGTATCCCTGGTGTTACAGCATCCCAGGAGATCTGAGCATCCCTGGGTATCAAAGTATCCCTGGACATCAGAGCATCCCTGGGAATTACAGCATCCCTGAAAATTACAGCATCCCTGGGTATAAGGGCATTCTTGGGAGTTACTGTGTCCTAGAGTTACAGTGTTCCTGGGGTCACAGCATGCCAGGATATCAGAGCAATCCTGGGAGTTAGAGCATCCCTGAGCATCAGAGCATCCCTGGGAGTTACAGCATCCCTGGGTGTGACAGGACTGAGCTGCCTGGGATGCTGGAGTTACAAGGATTGGGGCTCAGTGGAGCTTTGAGTGGGAGAATGGAGGATTTTGGGCTGGCACTGAGCAGTGCAGACCTCCCCAGCCTGCTCCTGTCCCCATTCCACACCCCCAAACCCACCCCATGCACTGCCTGTCAGTATCCCAACCTCCTCAGAGATTTCCCTCACTGCTGGGAAGCACAGCCCCATCACTGATCTCCTTCCTCCCTGTCTCTCTCTCTGTCCCCAGTCATCTTCATCCTCCCAGGAGCGCCTGCACCAGCTGCCGTACCAGCCCACCCCCGACGAGCTGCATTTCCTTTCTAAGCATTTCCGCAGTACGGAGAGCGTCACGGACGAGGAGGGCCGGCACTCGCCCTGCCTGCGCCCACGATCCCGCAGCCTCAGGTGGGACACAGCTCCCAGGACAGGGCTGGCTTGATTTGAAACACAGGGGTCTGCTAAGAAAGGCAGCAGCCTCCCCTGGAATGGAAAATGTAAACCGCGTCCTCTGAATATCTGAATTATCATATCAGATATCTGAATTATCTGCACCCATGATCACAGAGCCTCAGGTGGGACAGAGCTCCCAGGACAGGGCTGGCTTGGTTTGAAACACAGGAGTCTGCTAAGAAAGGCAGCAGCCTCCCCTGGAATGGAAAATGTAAACCCTGTCCCTCTGAGTGATCATATCTGAATTGTCATATCAGATATCTGAATTATCTGCACCTGTAACCTCAGGTGGGACACAGCTCCCAGGACAAGGCTGACTTGCTTTGAAGCACAGGTTGTTGCAGGTGTCTGCTAAGAAAGGCAACAGCCTCCCCTGAAATGGAAAATGTAAACCCTGCCC